TGTTCCCAAACTTAAGAAGCTTCATGAACATCAAATATCTGCTCCTTTCATCTCCATACTCATTCCCACTTGAGCTTATGCCCTTTTAACAGGCCTTTCCCTTTTTTCCTTTATCTATAAACATTTAGCACTTTTGTCTTCTATTCTCCCCTATGAAAAGCAGAAAATAAGAGCCAAGTCATATTAAGGTCTAGGTCACAAAATATCTTGGTATCTAATTTTTTTTTTGCTTTAAAACTTATGAGAAGTAGAAATTATGCAGAGTCACCAAAATCTGTAATTAAGTTATTCCTAGTATTTCTTAAATTTAATGAGCTGAAAAATCCATTACCTGTCCCATTGTTTATTAGTTTCTTAGAAGATCTCAGCTATCTCAATTACTTCCTGTAATACATTTCTTACACACAATTTCCTACAGTTCTTGCATACCATTTTTGCAGATGTAGCTTGACACTGACCTCCAAGTTGCCTAACATCTACTCACCTGCAAACATCATGACAATAACAGTAAACATCTCCTAACCTTAGTCATCTAGATCCCCAGTCTTGTTCTTCTACATTCCATTGTGAGACTCCTGATAGCAGTCTCTGTTGATTGTTGAGAAATGCAAGATATTTTGGACCAGAGTCTGTCAAACATACGAGAATTTCATTTTGTTATCTTCAAGGTGGTAAGCTGCCTGAGCTGCCTTGCGCTATATTACTTTTCTTGTGCTGCCAAAGCCTCTGTAGGTAGGATTCTTCTGAATATTCTGCCAAACAATTAATTGAAGGTTGCTTTTATGATATGGAACAGATTGGTCACAAACGTTTTGATCTGGGTCAACTGTGGCTGAAAAAAAAAAGTGTGATGAAACACCTGCCATTTAGATGGCCATCATATAATTGAGCTTAATCAGTAATTAATACTTAATACTTAATCTGAGACATCTGTTAAACCATTTTTGAAAATGAACAGAGGGAGGGACCTTAAAATATATTTAAAGGCTCTTTAAAAAAAAAAAAAAAAGCTTGATTGCTTAAGAAGTATTAAAATTTTGAGAATTTTGAGCACTAAACATGAAGCATGTCCAGATGGCACAACACAGTGCTGTGCAGAGACAATGGGAAGCCAGCTGAAAGCAATGCTGTGTATTTTTCAAGGCACTAATTGATGATTTGGTGTGGAGAAAAAACACCAGAAAGAGAAATAGGAATTCAAAAGCTGGAGGAATTCTTCAGAATCGACATAAACTTTCAAAAAGCAACAAGTTCTGTGGCTTTATGTAATATTTCTGTAATACCAGATATGCACCAGTTCTGTCTTTCACACACAGTTTAGTAACATGCAAAACTACCCAATGACATAGTTCTTAGAATTCTATGTAATTATCAGATGTTCAGCAGATAATATCAGCTGTGCCTTATTAAACAGACATTCATAGCACCTGTCACTTCACTGTAATTGAACACAGTCTTGGAACCGTCATACTAATATGCAGGTATTTTTCCTAAAAGAAAGTCTATTCAATTAGAACAAAACTTTGGACTGCTAAAAATAAAGATAATTTTTTTCAAAAAGTAAAATAATAACTTATGTGGTTTTCTATTCTGGACTAAAATACAGAAAAAGTACTTTCAAAACAGGTATTTGTTAGACATTCAGTAAAGAGTGTTTTGTACGTATCTGTGTTTTCATCACCTGGTTTCAGCACACTAAAAGTAAGGAGTGCCAGAGTGTCCTTGAATTGAACCCTGAATCAATGAGTGTTTTGTCATGCTGGGAATGGAAACTTCCAAGGAACTGGTTAAAATGCTACTAGTTTTACTACATGTCACACTTTTCTCTGAGTCAGCTCCTGAATATTTCAATGAGCCTGGTGTAACCAGAATTTCCAGTTTGGCTGGGACAGACATAAAATATTCCAGTATCCAGCAGATATGGTTCTGCTGTTTTTCCACACCACATGAAAGGAAACAGGATATTCCTGCTCTCACCTTAAGCCTTGCATAAGAATGCAGACTTTTGCAGCACAGTAGTAAGAAACAGGGACTCAGGCACAGTGTTGTGATGTGATACAAGTCTTATGTTTTACTGCAAAACAAGATGAACAGAGTATGTTCTACTCTGCATTAAATGTTGGTAAGTATGATGAGTTATCAAAGCTTATGTTCAGTTAGGTAACCTGATATGGGTCCCACACAGATGATGTAACATGTGCTCTCTTTTCTTTATTCTGGTTCCTGTGGCTGTATGCATATCCTGGAAAAAAAGAAAAATGCTTTTCACTGACAATAATTACAGGTAAAATAGCATAAATAGGGAACAGACGTTCTTCCCTAGCTGTCTGAAATAGCACCTGAGTTTTCTCCCTGGAGGTAGGAAGTATCAGTTTGTTTTCTCTCCCTAGCAGACATGCTCATCACTAACATTTTATAATGTTTTTGGAACAAACATGTCTACTAACTGTACTAAATTTTAGTAGAGTTAACTACTCTAAATTTCAGAGGTAATTAAATACTTGTTCAAGGTTCCCCCACCCTCCAATATGAACTAGTTTACTTTACAAAAGAAAAATGACGACATAGTATGAAGGATGGCAAATGTTTTAGCTGGGTCATGGCAGCCCATCATGATTACAGTTAAAAATTATTAATGTTACAATTGTTTGAGAGAATGAATAGAAATCGTCAGTTAGACTTCTGTGAAATTACTTAACCACATAGTTCTTAAAAATATTTCCTTGACTTAGTACTTCTCAGAGTCTTCTCAGTCACTGAGATTGTAAACCTCTTGCCCAAACCCAGACCCTGAAAAAGAAGTCACTGCGTGCCATCGTGTGGATATCATAAAAACAACATCTGTTCTGAAAAGACGGATTCGTAAAAAAAAAAAAAAAAAA